AAGGGGAACTAAAGCTGGATTGACTGGGTGCAGTGGCTCATGCCTATAATCCCAGCACTTTGGGAGTCTAAGACAGGAAGATCACTTGAGGCCAAGAGTTCAAGACCAGCCTGTGTAACATAGCAAGAAAGCAGCCTGTCTATACAAAAAAATTTAAAAATTAGTTGGGCATGGTGGCACATGCTTGTAGTCTTAAGCTACTTGGGAGGCTAAGGCAGGAGGTTTTCTTACACTCAGGAGTTCAAGGCTGCAATGAGCTATGATCATGCCACTGCACTCCAGGCTGGGCAACAGAGCAAGACCCTGCCTCTGTCTCTCTGTCTATGTATATATAAAATAAAATTTAAAAGTGGGTTATAAAGACATTCAAAAAGGAATGTCAGAATAAGATGGCTGGGCTAGATGTAAAACTGATTCATGGTTCAACACAATAATAAAACCAGACAGAAGTCATCTGCATCTCTACTAGACAAGAATATAAAAGTTAACATTAACTTATAAAGTGTGGGCCTTTCATCAATAGGAAAGGGCTTGTCCAACACAGATCTGGACCCCCTGGATAATGAAATAATCCTTGTATGAGCTGTTGAACAGTGCTCCAGTATGACATTTAGACAACATGCTTTCCTTCCTTTACCTTGTTTATAAGTTTTGGATAATTTTTCTTAACATTATTATTATTAAAGGTGAACTTCCATTTATATGAGGAACCTAGAGGAGTTAAATTCATAGAGACAGAAAGTATATGGGGTTGCCCTGGGCTGGAGGAAGAGGGAATAGGGATTTTAGTGGGTGCAGAGTTCTAGTTTTGCAAGATGGAAAGAGTTCGGTGGATGCATGGCAGTGATGGGTGCACACAATGGGAATGTACCTGATGCCACTGACCTGTACACTTAAATGTGATTCAGATGGTACGTTCTTTGTTATATGTATTTTGTCACAATTAAAAATAAAGTTACAAAATGGACTGACACATGACTATATGAAGAAAAAATAGTTCTTGATCCTCCTGAGAGAACCAATTTAGTGGTTCTGTTTGTAACTTTTCCCCTTTTCATAAAAACATAACTAGACATATCTAAAAATAGAATTATCAAAATTGTTTACTCTGTGGCATTTGTTCTTTTCGCTTAACAATATATCACAGACAGATCAATGTCTACAACCTAGAGGATTATCAACATCCACAACCCAGAGGGCTAAATTCATTCTTTTTAATACCAACTCCTAGACTGGACATAGCATAATTTATTCAACTATTTTTCTGCTTATGAAAGTTTAGATTGTTTCCTGTTGTTTTTCTTTTTCTGCCAGTACAAACGCTGTTTTTAAAAATGTTTTACTACAGCAGAGCAGTGCTGAAGACCAGGTTTTGAGTAGTGACAGCAAGAAGGCAGAGGAGGGAATGGATCCAAGAAACACCTCATTGGACTGGGCACGATGGCTTATGCCTGTAATCCCAGCACTTTGGGAGGCCAAGGTGGGCGGATCACCTGAGGTCAGGAGTTCGAGAGCAGCCTGGCCAACATGGTGAAACCCTGCCTTTACTAAAAATACAAAAATTAACTGGGCATGGCAGGTACCTGTAATCCCAGCTACTTGAAAGACTGAGACAGGAGAATCGCTTGAACCCAGGAGGCAGGGGTTGTAGTGAGCCGAGATCACACCACTGCACTCCAGCCTGGGCAACAAAGAGCAAAACTCCATCTCATAAAAAGAATAATAATAAGAAGAAACCCCTCACTGGGGAAATGGGTTGGATTTGGTGCAGTTGAAAATGTTGATATTGGCCGGGTGCAGTGGCTCGTGCCTGTAATCCCAACACTTTGGGAGGCTGAGGTGGGCAGATCACCTGAGGTTAGGTGTTTGACACCAGCCTGTCCAACAGGGTGAAACCCCGTCTCTACTAAAAATACAAAATTAGCTGAGCCTGGTAACACATGCCTGTAATCCCAGCTACTCGGGAGGCTGAGGCAAGAGAATTGCTTGAATGTGGGAGGTGGAGGTTGCAGTGAGCCGAGATTATGCCATTGCACTCTAGCCTGGGCAACAAGAGCAAAACTCTGTCTCAAAGAAAAAAAAGAGAAAAGAAAATGTTGATGTTGATGTAAGAGTTGACAGTAAAGATTTTTCTGTGCCAAATGGCTGAGAAGCAACAGCCAAAGCTGGAAATCTCTGACCTTACCCTCGATAGCCCCAAGGTCAGCTGATTCCAATTTACAATTCCTTAGGCAAGGAATTGTAATGAGAAAGGGAACAGAAAAAGAATAGCAGAAGGTTTTATGAGGGGGATGGCAGAGAAACTGTGAGAATAGGGTGTGTTTTGAAATGCTGGGTTTGAGATAGGCATGGGGTCTGTCTGTGCCCATCAGACAGCTACAAGTCGGTGTCTAAAGCTTGGGGAAGACATCACAGAGAGAGATTATTGATTTGAGCATCCCTTGCATAAAGTCATAAGTGAGGCTATGAGAGTGGATGAGATCTGTTCCCAGGGAGTTCCTTAGATTACAGAGGAAGGAGATGGCACCCATGGGAGTGACCTGCATTTAGGGATCTGGCTGCCGAGACTGAGAAGGAGTAGACAGAGGAGAAAAAACAGGACAGTAAAGCTTGGGGAGGCTGGAGAGGCAAGAGTCTGAAATTGTGACAGCTGGTCCATTCTTAGCAAATGTAATCATGTTAAGTATCTTTTAGGTATTGGCATCATAGGCTGCCCTTCTCACTGCTTGTTGTATGTGCCTTTAAGAACACCTGCCTCTGTGAGTCTCATCAAACACTGGTTTCCTTGTATAAACTACTAGAAATAATGATGTGGTTTGGTACGCCACCTTGAGCACTACTTTGAATTTAAGGAAATAGCCAAATCAAAATCATAATAGGGCACAGTTTGAATGTCGCATAGCATCTCTCAGTAGTGCTAAGAATTCATTTTTTAAGGCTACATTATGTTCATAGAAACTAGGACTTTATTAATAAAGGATAGTAGATGTCAATTTCATAAAACCATATGATCTGGAAAAGGCTGCAGAGAGGTGCCCTAAGAAAGCAATAAATACAAAGAATTTCTAAACATTTAGAATTAGCTTTGAAACTGTCTCAATCTGTTTTTGTGTATTGCCACCAGATTACCCTATTGACACCAGATCTTTGTGTAAAGACTGTGCATTTTTAAACCATAGGTGACTGGAGGAGAAAATTTAGAGAATTACCAGTAATCCGAATGTGTTGTTTTGTCACTTCTCATGGCTCTGAGAAATCCTAAGTTTGGAAAAATAACAGTCATCAGAACTTGATGTCACTGAGCAGTGAAATCAGTGGGAGCCTGCCAAGTTTCAGGCAGGATTCAATTTTTTCATACATTGTGTTTCCTATTTTATATTAGATACAATTAGGTTCCTGAAGAAGAATCAAAAGAAGATTCTAACCCTTCAAATACCTTGCCATCTTGTAGAAAAGTAAGATATGTACATAGACAGATATTGAAGAAAACACTCTAAAGTTCTCTGACCCTCTACACCCAGACTGCATATTATTGCTGAAGGATTTTCGATCAGAATGAGGCTAGTCCTTATGTGGGTTCCCCTGACCTACAGGACCCATTTAGAGAGGAAGAAGCAGGTGGGAGAACAGTGGGGACAGAGGAGAGGCTGGCAGGTAGGTGAGAGGAGGCAGCAGGTGGCGAACGAGCTGTTTTCCAGATAATATGATCACAGGAGTATTTATAGGGTGGTCAGTTTCAGGCATGATGGACTCAGGCCATAATGTTGGATTACTTAATAGTAAATTGCAAAGAAGGTCATGGCTGTGGAGTGTTGATCTAAACAAAGACTGGTGAATCCACAATGGAAAGCTTGTTTGTGGGTTCCGGGTCACCTCGAATGTCTTCAATAGCTTGTAGTTAGTGAAGGGTCCTGACTGAAGGTGGGGGAGTTGTGACTTTCATCAGAACCTTCCTGTTGCTCGGCCCTAGTTCATCTAGATGCATTAAGGAGTCATGGGAACTCAGCAGATGAACCCTGTAAGCATTCCAGCAGGTCCTTAGGAGAGCAGTTTATTGATTGAACTCACCTTGTCTCCACCCCAACTGAGTACCAAATAATCAAGAAGAATCCTAGATTCCTTGCCTAAGGAATTGTAAATTGGAATCAGTTGACCTTGGGGCTAGTGAGGGTAAGGTCAGAGATTTCCAGCTTTGGCTGTTGCTTCTCAGCCATTTGGCAGAGAAGAGTCTTTACTGTCAGGGACTGCTTTGAGTTTTATTTGCAGACAAGTTGTTGTGACCTGCTCTGGTCTTGTCTGAACACGCAGACCAGGCCCAAGCTCCCACTGCCTGTTCACACCATCTCCCTAATCCACAGCTGTACCAGCAGAAAGAGATGCCAAAATCCAGATACAATAAAGCAGCCAAATGACAGGTCTTTCCTCCTTTGCCTGTTCATTTTTTATCTCTCCATAACATATAAATAATTGGCTCATTCTATTTACTGCACAAAGAGAAAATGAAACGTCTGAATTTTTCATAGCAGTGGGAAAGTAGTTCCAGAGTGTGAAAAAAATAGCTATCGGAAATTCCAGCTGCTGCTTTTGGTATAATGGAAATTTATTACTCAACTCCATAACAATCTTGGCCCAAACCGTGCAGTGGTGTGGGCAGGCAGTGGGCACCTTTCCTAAATAGCACACTGCCAGGGACACCTTTGTTCATATTTGAGACAGCCTGAACCAAGGGTATCTTTCTATCAAAGGGTGTTTGATTATCTCCGAATCTTAGACATATCACAAAATCCATTGAGACCTAGCCAGTGGATTTTACTTGTATGAGCTATTGCATCGCTCCCAAAGGGAGGGTCAGAGCCCAATAATAAATAGCTCTTTGTACCAGTCCCCTCCCTAGCCCCAAACCATTGAGATCATAGAGTAAGCAACCAGTCAGTATTCAGTAGGAGTGCTGCTCAGTAGTGTGGCAGATAATGACCAGATGTGAACTTTTCTTTCTACAGTGTGTGGCTGTGACCTGGCACAAGGGGGCTTCTTCATAAAGAACGGAGAGTATCTCTGCACACTGGACTACCAGCGGATGTATGGGACACGCTGCCATGGCTGTGGGGACTTCGTGGAAGGAGAAGTTGTGACCGCTCTGGGCAAGACCTACCATCCCAATTGCTTTGCTTGTACTATCTGCAAGTAAGTGAGCTTATCTCTCCAAAGCCTACAGCTTCCTCCAACAGAGAAATGCTGGTTGGGGCTGTTAGAGCTTGGATTATATACCGTTGGTTTGAGTAGCACATAGTCTTATCCTTAGACTTCTTTCTGACTGTACTATCAGTCTTAGTAAAAAAGTAGATTAGTTGAAAACCGTATGCGTGGTGTCCTTTGCAAAGTAATATGACTGATTTTAAGAAGACTGAACCCAATTCTGAAGCAGCTCTGGCTCTCAAAACATTTTTGGGTAATAAAAATATCGGGGTAATGGTATAACTGCTTAGAAGGATAAAGCTTATTTGGAAGTATAAATTCTTAGGCATGTGTGTGTGTTTAAAACGGTCTCTTTAATCTATAATAGGGGGTGGCAAACTGTGTCCCATGGGCTGAATTAGGCCCAATACCTGTTTTTGTGGATAAAGTTCTATTGGAACGCAGCCACTCCCACTGTTGTGTGTGGCCTATGGCTGCTTCCACACTGCGGCAGCAGAGTTGAGTCGTTGTGACAGAGACCTTATAGTCTGCAAAGTCTTAAAAAATATACAGCCTCATCTTTAGGGGGAAATATTTGCCAACCCCTGCTCTCTACATATCTGTCATCTACCAAAGTTAAATCTTAATAGTGCAAACCAGCTTGATTAAAATGATCAGTCAGTCTGGGCATGGTAGCTCACCCTTATAATCCCAGTACTTTGGGAGGCTGAGGCAGGCAGATCACCTGAGTGATCAGGAGTTTGAGACCAGCCTGGTCAATGTGTTGAACCCTCTCTCTACTAAAAATTCAAAAAAATTAGCTGGGCGTGGTGGTGCACTACTTGGGAGGCTGAGGCAGGAGAATCGCTTGAACCCGGAAGCAGAGGCTGCAGTGAGCTGAGCGCACACCACTGCATTCCAGCCTGTGTGACAGAGCGAGACTTTGTTTAAAAAAAAAATTTAAAATAAAAATAAAATGATCAGCCAGAGAGTAGTGTGAGTAAGAAAACGTGGTTTTTTTGTTTGTTTGTTTTTTGTTTGTTTTTTTTTTTTTTGAGATGGAGTCTCGCTCTTGTTACCCAGGCTGGAGTGCAATGGCGCTATCTCGGCTCACCGCAACCTCTGTCTCCTGGGTTCAGGCAATTCTCCTGCCTCAGCCTCCTGAGTAGCTGGGATTACAGGCACATGCCACCATGCCCAGCTAATTTTTTGTATTTTTAGTAGAGACGGGGTTTCACCATGTTGACCAGGATGGTCTCGATCTCTTGACCTCGTGATCCACCCGCCTCGGCCTCCCAAAGTGCTGGGATTACAGGCTTGAGCCACCGCGCCCAGCCCGAAAACGTGGTTTTTTTGTGGTTTTTGTGTTTTGAGGGCTGCATGTTATAAAACTAAGATAGGTTGGATTCCTGTAACTAGGAATCACCACCAAGGGTCAGCTGCTTTATTGATCCATTCTAATTTGGCAATTTGGCAATCCAGTGCCTTTTGAAGTGGTGATCTATTTGCGATGCCTTTCTAAAAATCCCACTTCAGAGGAGACGTGTTGTCTGCTTTTCAGCATTTTATGTTTCTAAGCCAGAAAGATGTAAGCTCTAGAAGGGTAGATTCAATATTGTATGATTAACTAACAAGATAATACTGATAAATAAATCATAATACACAAAACATTCATAATATCTTTATAGCTATGTATTCACTCATTTCTCCATTTCATTTTTTAAGAATAATAATTTTAAAATTCTGGATGAATGAACTGAATATTTTTCTGTATTTAATCAAAAGCAGAGTTCTTTCCTGATTTTTCCCTTTTCAGGCTGTGGTACACAGCCTGGCTAAGAGTCCTGGGCTGGCACTGAGCCTCAACTCCTAGTCTTACTTCCCAGATTGTGTTGAGACCTACGTGAATTAGCTTTTTCAAGACAATTGCCTCCGCCTTAGAATGGGAAGCTGTGAACTAGATGCGAGTGATTTTTCAAGCCTGGCTGATCACTGGAGTCTCCTGGATGGGGTGGGAATGGCCTAGAGATGGAGGTCTCTCTCTAAAAAGATCCATTTCTAGGCTATTTTCCCCCAAAACCTGCATGCTAATTTAGTGGTTTCTGGAGGGTTCTCAAGTATGTTACTCAGCCAGGCTGGAAGGCTCTGTTCGCAGTAAACTCTGATCCTGACCCTGAGAGGTCACTGCTTTGGAGTTGGTATAATGATATACAAAGATTTATTAACTATGACCCTGTCCCTGGACATTTGAGGCAGCAAAGAAGTACCAACTGTTACTACTGCCTCTCCTGCTGCTGAATGACAATAATTCTGCTTGAATTGGGGGCCTCCTTTAGAGTTAATAAGTTATATTCATAGAGAAGTTAATTTAACCCTCCTAGCAATTCTGTGAAGGGAACCAGGAGTTAATATCTCTAGAGTGACTTTGAGGCTCACAGTTTAAGGGACATTCCCAAATTAATGGTTTAAACTCAAGTTTTCTAACTCTAAATCCAGGTCTCTTTCTATTATGCAAATAAAAGAAGGAATTTATCCAGTAAGGGCAGAGGATATAGGGAGGGAGGAAATTCCTGAAATGGGCCATTTACAAAACAACAAAACTCACACTTCAGAAGGCCTGGCCCAAGTTGAGAACTGGATTCTGGCTTGTCCCATAAAGGATCTCTGTGAGACTCGGGTCTAAAATGATAATAAGCTTGGATGGGAAGGAAGCCTTGGGCTTGAAGGGGGGTAAGTGAGGTGCCTCTGGGGGATGCAACATGTAAAAGGCACTTATTCTCAGGGTCCTGCAAGTTCAGGGTCAGCCATGGAGCCTGAGTCCCTCTTTAAATGCTGTGTCCAGGTCCAGGCCTGGCATGGTCAGAAGTAAAAGAACCTGTGCTTGTTGTGTTGAGTGGGTCCTTGACTTCCTGACACCTTCCTTCCAGAACAGGTTTAAGATTTGTTGAGGTTTAGCTAATGAGTTTGAAGCAGTAGGGTGACTGGCATCCAGCAGAGTGTGATTTTTTTATTCTTAAAGCAAGTTCTGAGTTGGTGGATGCCAGCTGCACCAGGCTGTGGCCTGATCTCCCTAGCTGGTCAATCCAGGCATGTTACTCCACCTCTCCGAGCCTTCGCTGTACCGCGGAAAGTGACATAGCACCGCATGTGGAGAGGACACCAACTGTCCTCAGGACTTCTGAAGTGTAAGGGTGTAAGAATTTAAAACTCTCCGTGATGACTGGAACCGGCCACATTTGTGGGGTCGTTTTAAGTCCAAATTTACCTCTATGCGTTTATTACAGTTAATTGCCAATTGTTAGGCAACGAAGGGGCAACTTAAAGGGGACGTAGCAGCTGTGGAAGTAAAAATGAATGTCCAAAAGCTGCTGCTTGCTCTTAAGTAATGTCTTCTGACTCAGATTTGTGGTGACTTTTGGCTTGCGAGTTTCACATTTCCTAACTGACAGCATCACACATTTGAAAAATCATGTTGATGGAGATTATGCACATGGGCCAAGTGCAAGTGAGTGGGCATAGAAACTGTCATATGTCTACTAATTATTGACTTTTTTAAAAGGCTGTCTGCATCTGCCTGGTCACCTGGGAGAAGAAACTGATCACCTACATGCAGAAGGCAATGTTTTTGCCAAATATGCTGCTATTGATGAACACCTACTATGAAGAGAAATTATCTTTCTGAAATGAAGCTAATATGAATTCTTAAACGGATATTTACAGCCTGTCCTATTTCTCCCAGTTTATAAGGGACTGGGTCTCCAGTACCACGAAACATTCAGTTCACCCATGTAGATGTCCAGCAAAATCTAATTCTGCATAATCATCACAGAGTTCTAGGCACAGTCCCAGGGAACTGAAAGACTTATTTCTTATTGCTTGACCTGTAGCCAGTTCTCCTGGGGCGGGGCCTTAAGCTTCACTGGGAATTTATGGTATTTAAAGTATTTTTTCATGAAGGACTTTCCATTTGGAAATTTACTGTTCTGTGTGCCTTGCTAAGTGACTTGCTGGAACATCTCTTCGCTAATGAGTGGAGGTAAATCATCCCATTTTACTACCTGGTTGCCCTTAGAACCAGTACTTTCCCCTTCTCAAAATGAGGCACATTTATTTGTTTGGACTGTCTCCAGCTGGCTGGCTTGGTTATGACTGTGTTTCAGACATGTTGGCTGCTGCTTCTCCAAGAAATAAATGAGCACCGGAGGGCAGCAAGCAGAAGGAATAAGGAAAAGGAATGAAATTGCTGCAATAACCTTGAGGGCTATGTCTTTCTGTCTCCAGGCGCCCGTTTCCACCCGGAGACCGAGTCACATTCAATGGGAGAGACTGCCTTTGTCAACTCTGTGCACAGCCGATGTCATCCAGTCCGAAAGAAACCACCTTCTCTAGCAGTAAGTGCCCCCATGACCTACTGACATGAATACCTATGTAGTCCAGAGGTAGCTCAGGCAGGTGCTTTCCTTTTTGAGAGACGCTGTTAGCTGGAAATGAGAGTCATCTATCTACCTGAATAGATATTTCTCCAAAGATGACATTAAAATGACCAACAAGTACATGAAAAGGTGTTCAGTGTTATCAGTCATAAGAGAAATGCAAATCATGAAATACCACCTCACACCTGTTAGGATGGCTATTATAAAAAAGGCAGGAGGTGATAAGTGTCAGCCTAGGTGTGGAGAAAAGGGAACCCTTGAACACTGTTGATGGGAATGTGGATCATTAATGCAGGCATTTTGGAGAACAGCATGGAGGTTCCTAAAGAAATTAAAAGTAGGCCAGATGTGGTGTCTCATGACTGTAATCCCAGCACTTTGGGAGGCCAAGGCAGGAGGATTGCTTGAGCCTCATTTAAAAACAGCCTGGGCAGCATGACAAAACCCCATCTCTACAAAAAATGCAAAAACTGGCTGGGTATGATAGAGCACGTCTATAGTGCCAGCTATGTGGGAGGCTGAGATGGGAGGATGGCTTGAGCCTGGGAGGTGAAGGTTGAGGTTGCAGTGAGCTGAGATTGCACCACCACACTCCAGCCTGTGTGACAAAGCTAGACCATCTCCGAAAAGAAAAGAAAGAAAAAAAACGAATGAATTAACAAACTACCATGTGACCCAGAAATTCCTTGGTATACACAAAAAATCTAATATGTGAAAAAAATTAAAGTCGGAACAAAATTAAAGCAGAATAAAAGAGCTGCATTTATATGGGGCAGAGAATACTTCTCTCAAAGATGATACCTAAGGAGACATTTGAAGAAAGCGTGGAAACCAGCTGTACATACATCTGGGGACTTGTCGTTATTTACAAGGTCTTGTCTGACCTGTCAGAATCCATAGAGAACCTACTTATCCCAAAATAAAAATAGTTGGCCAAATTGAACCATTTCTTCTGTAAAATAACCTCGAGTAGGCCAGTTAACACACATACGAAGTTGATACATTATGAACTGTGGGCACCAAGCAAGGAAGCTCTACTCCCGTCTCTTTCCTGGGACATTAGGAAGTGAACTGGAGATTTGCCTTAGTTTCTACAGCTTTTGCCAATCCTTGGGAGACTCGGAAGAAATGTCTTTAAGCCCTTAAGTGAGTCTTAATAGGTAAGAATGAGATAAACCACTTATGCACCAGAGAAATTCAGTGCAATTTATAATAGTGATTTCAAATCTTCCTATTAAATTTGAAGTCTTATACTTGTTAAAAATATAAATGTTCTGACTAAAGCATTTGCATAGAAATTGGATTTTGACCATTGGGAGGAAAGAAGAAAATACACGTATTAGTGCATCTTATTCAGCACACGTGACCGGATCCTTGGCATGTGAATTTATGTGACCTGCTGACAAATAACAGCAGCTTGGGTAGGATGACAGCTACAAAGCAAGGCACCATCTTAGACCCGTAGCAGGGTTCTGAGTCCTTCACCATTGTTACTACCCTGCCCCAAACACAAGAGATACAGTTACCCTCAGGTCACTGGGAAGGTAAACTTCAGTGGGAATCATCACCCCATTATTTGGGAGGGCTTGCTTCGAAAGTACATTACCAAAAACTTTGAAGGAATTCTTGCTGAGTTAAGAAAAAGAGGCTTTTATGATTTTGATGATTTCCAGGATATGGTGACAGCTGTAGCAGAGAATCATGTCATGGGACATGACATGGCCTGTCATGGGAATGGCTGTGTCCTCACTGTGAAGTCCTTTAGTCCAACTATGTTTTTTACGAGGTGGGGAAACAGGCTCATGGGCAAACTTAGGGGCACATAAGCTATCTAATAAGATAGGGTCAGATGCAGGTCTTCTGGCTCCTGGTTTTTTGCTCCTGCTCTCTCTTTTAAATCTAATACTCTCATTGTTCGGTTTAAGAAATAGAAGTCTGATTTTTTTTTTTTGAGACAGAGTCTTGCTCTGTCACACAGGCTGGAGTGCAGTGACCCAGTCTCAACTCACTGCAACCTCCACCTCCCCGGTTTAAGCAATTCTCGTGCCTCAGCCTCCTGAGTAGCTGGGATTACAAGCAAGTGCCACCATACCAGGCTAATTTTTGTATTTTTCTTAGAGACAGGGTTTCACCATGTTGGTCAGGCTCGTCTCAAACTCCTGACCTCGTGATCCACCTGCCTCTGTCTCGCAAAGTGCTAGAATTACAAGAAGCATTGCTGTGTAATTTGGGAACACATTTCCTAATCACAATTCTACCACAATGTTGATTCTGATTTTTATTAAATTTGTTTCTTTATATTTTCTGTTTTTATATGGTATACATGTTACATACATATAAATGAAAAATATCTAACTCAAAGAATTGCATGTTTAATATTAGATTGAACAATCATTGCTTATGTGCAAATTGTTGGACCAAGTCGTATTTTCTCCTTTGCTTCCAATGGATGAAATCCCATTGCTATGCAACCGCTTTGGTCAGGATATCTTTATTTTTAACAAGTACTTGTCTATTTAAATAAGTACTCAAATGGCATTTATGGGGTATGTGAGTGTCTATAAAAAAGAAAGCTCTTTTATATGGATACACACTTGCAAATTACCCAGACTAGACAGGCACACAAATATTAAAGCAATGGGAATTTTTGGCAAGTTTCAGAAATTCACTGGAGCGTAATTAGAAAACACTTGTTTGCTATTTGTAACTCTTCAAGAATTGCTCTATACTTTAAAACTAGCCTACATGGCTTTAGTTCCTTTTTTATGACTTTTTAAATTTTTTTAATTTTTTTAAAAATTCCAGGGTACACGTACAGGATGTGTAGGTTTGTTACATGGGTAAACATGTGCCATGGTGATTTGCTGCACCTATCAACCCATCACCTAGCTGTTAAGCCCAGTATGCATTAGCTCTTTTCCCTTTTAAACTGAGTAAAGCTTCCTAAATGGAAGTAGAAAGTAGCCTTTTTAAAGTGTGAATCTCTCCCTTGATAATGTTCACAGAGTCAGTGAAATACACCTGAAAGTCAAAGCCGAGGTCCTCTTTTTCCTTTGAAATATTCTGTTCAGAAATGAGCTTGCTCTTCTGAACCACAACTTTATTTCACACTCTGTGATTGGTTTTCCATAATCACTAAATAGAAGGGGAGGACAGCAGACAAGTAGAGAAACACAAGCGAAGTGGATGGAGTGACATTTATATGAAAGAGTCTCTGAGCTTACTGAGGAAAGATACAGCCTTTTGATTTCAGCTGCTCAGCAGCTGCCATGTCTATTGTTCTGGTTTAGGAAGAACTCCCACTGGAGAACTCTGTTCAGTGCTTCCTCCCCCTTACAGTAATTCTTCTAACCTTGATATTGATTTTATTTTCTTAATCAAGCACTCACATAGTACTTATGATATATCAGGTTCTGTGTAACTGGTTTACATTATTAGCTCATTTAATCCTCGTAACAGTCCTATAGCTTGGCACTAATACTATCCCCTTTTCAGAGAAGAAGAAACAAAGGGTCATAGAGGCTAAATAATTTGCCCAAGGTCTCATAGATAGTATCAGAGCTGGGATCTAAACCCAGGCTATCTGGCTTCTGATGCCGTGTTCCTGTCCCGGATATTTCTTTGTTGATGTAAATATCATTCTGTGATTTTCAAAGACGTGAGTCCTGAGACTTGGAACAGTGGCGTATTCATCTACGGATCATCCAGGAGCCCCGACTCCAGGAGCTGTGCGCTTTCTACATGTCACAGCAGCCTCCTTGTTATATCAACTTTTGATTAATGAAAACAACCAGGCAAGTGTTTTGTTTTTTTGTTTTGTTTTGTTTTGTTTTGTTTTTGAGACAGAGTCTTGCTCTGTTGCCCAGGCTGGAGTGCAGTTTTGTGATCTTGGCTCATTGCAACCTCTGCCTCCCAGGTTCAAGTGGTTCTCCTGCCTCAGCCTGCTGAGTAGCTGGGGTTACAGGCATGTGCTACCACACCTGGCTAATTTTTGTATTTTTAGTAGAGATGAGGTTTCACCATGTTGGCCAGGCTGGTCTCTAACTCCCGACCTCAAGTGATCTGTCCACCTCTGCCTCCCAAAGTGCTGGGATTACAGGCATGAGCCACCATGCCCAGGCAAAACCATCGGGAAGTTATTCATAGAAGCAAACAACTTCAATGAATTATTTAAAACTGTTGCTGCATTCAGTCTAATGCAATTTCAATCCAGTAAGCAATAAACTTTACATAAAAGCAAGATGGTAGAAAAAGTTAGCACACAGGGTTTTGGTAAACATTAATTAGATTGTTTTACTGGCTGAATCATACTTTCGAAACATATTATGTCCAGAAGATATGCATTACCAGAAGGTTAAGTACAGTCTTCGAAAGCTTCATTCCGCTCCGTTCTTCATGTATTTACCAGTAACGGAGAGAGAAGCTGGATTCCCATGGGTTAAGGAGTGAAGTGAGAGAAAGTCTGTGTGTGGCAACTGAGAGTGTAGGGAATTGGGTTTGGGTTGTCATTTCCTGCAGGGTTCCTATGTGTTTCAGACATCTGAGCAGGAGTGGGCTGGTGTCTACAACCACCCTTTCCATGTCAAAGGGTGTCTGACTAGTGTCTGATGGCATGTGGGTTTGGGGAAATTGACAAGATGAACACCCACACAAACACATGCAGGCTCATCTTTTTCTTTTCCCTCCTCTGTGTGCAGCATCTTTATTCAAACTACAGTTGGAACTCCTGCTGGTATCAGGACAAATGCTCTAGCTGGACTGAATTGAAATCATTTCAGATAAAATATCATGTGCATGTTTCCAAAGGGGAGGCAGACATTTCCAATTGTTTTACTTTTCTATTTAGTCCAGTAGCCTTTCATACGTGCAAGATAATTTTCTTCTATCTTTATGTTATCTTTCAAAAAAAAAATAATCGTCAGGCTGAGTGAGCACTGTCTGCCAAGGGAGTGTCGGGA